GGAACATGGAGGAGGCTGTTTCAGTCTCTGACACCTGACTGCCTGGTTATCATGCAGTCTCTCAGTGTAACTTGCCTTCGTTAATCTCTCTCAGTTCTGTCCACTGTTTACAATGAAATGTCAGCATCCAGCTGCTCAGCAGTAGAATGTATCTCTTGCCTAGCTCCATGGGTGAGACTGCGTGACAAACACACTGCTCAGCCAAGAGGAGACGGCTGCATGCGTAATTCTCAGTGTAGTTTGTAGCCCGCTAGGTAGCTTCTTGACAAAGACAAAAATCCTCTTTGCCAAGTTCATGGGGGTGGAAGAAAAGGTCAGATGACTCCTTGGCCTTTGGTGCTTCTGTCACTACAGAAAGGTACATTCTGTGAGATACGTTCAGTAGTATCTGCCTGTCTGAATAGCTGTACAGCTTCCGCTAACGTACTTTGTAAATGCCTATACTTGGGTGGTCAGGTCTCTTTTCCACCTTGCAAACTAGAGAAAACTGTTTTTCAGCTGTTCTATTTTTCCTGGTGTTTGCCCCAGACTTGACCATTATTGGGAGAATCTTGTTACCATCCTGTGGTTCACTGAACTTCAGAAGTAATATATCTTTATGTGATGTTTGTTTCTCACAAATAGTTGTGGATTTCTACTCTTTCATGATACTTTTAAACATCTCCCACCCCACATACCATGTTTAACTTTTAATTTTACTTACAATTTTCCCCTGATATTTCTTCTCTTTCATCAATACACTTCTGCGAACAGTAGTGTCTGGACTTGAATGGAGCACTGATCACATTGTACTCCTCAATAAAGGCTCTTTTACCTTTGTTGTGTGAGGCACTTACATGATTCCTCACAGATTGGCTTTTCTACAGCTTGTTCTGTACCTCAAGTAGTTTTCAGTACAATTCTTATACAGTCTACAGAAAAGAAGGCAAGTAACTCTAGTAACTATGCAGTAGCGCTGCAATCAGGCCCACTGACATTATGGTGCTGAATGTGCAACAGAGTAGTTAGATAAATTTTGGGCCAGCAACTAATGGCCTTTATAATCATGCACATGGCTTACGTCAGAGAGTATGTCTTCCTTTCAGAGCCACACCATGAAAATACGATTTCCCACAGAAGTTGGAGATGTCCCTGCTCATTGCAGGGCAGGCTGGACTAGATGACCTTTAATAGGCCCCTTCCAACCTAAACTATTCTATGATTCTATAAGTTAGGTCCTATTCTGACAAATAATACTGAAAAACTTGTTCATGTGACATAAAATGGCTGACATAAAATGTATTGGTGGACTGCAGATAAGGTTTGCTCAATCAACAGGTTTTACAAGGCAAATACGGAACTTGGACACAAAGTTCTCCCTAGTCTGAGTGGGATGTATGGGTCTAAAGTCCAGAGTCAGCTCCGAAAGATCACAGAAACACAAAAAACAGGCCCAAAAGAACATGTTGAGAGGTCATATGGTTCATCACTATGGTTCTGGGCAGGGTCAGTTCACCAGTGAAACCTAAGAAGGGATTTGCTAACCTATTCTCTGAGTTTCTCAGTGATGATAGAACCACAGCCTTCCAAGGCAATCTATTTATATTTCAAAGTGCTACTATTAGAAAGTTTGCCTTACTATCTAACTTAAATCCCCTTACTGCAAATTAAACACAAAACTCTTCGTCTGCAATTTCGTACTTTGCAGACGCTGACATGATAGTTCACAGCCTTTTAAGGTGCTATGGTTAGCATGTATGAGCCAGAACTATACTGTGCTAGGTGCTGATCAGATGCCAGACAGAAGTGAGATGTATTTCCAAAAGAATTAACAAACTAGCAGGAAAGCACAAAGGAAATGAGAATAAGCACAAGAGACAAAGGTCATAAATCTCAGGAGATTTGTATCCAGACACTGTCAGAATATCGTATTTTCTGACGTACCTACTGGCCACCTACACACAACAGATACACCTTTTACTCAAGAGCAAGCAGTGGATTGCTGATGTCCTTACCAGCAGTTTAAAAATAGACAGGCACAATGACTGTAGCTTATATTTTTAGGGAAAGATTTGGAAAAGTACATGGTTGTGATACAAGTCAGTGAAGTATGTTTGACCCCACTAGTTAAAACTCCACCACACAAGAACTTTTTCACCCACCTCAGTACTGAACTTCAATCCCAGAAATTGGCTTTTTATCATTTACAGCGTCAGGATAAGCAGTCTCTGCCCTTTAGTTTGTCTTTAAGAATAAGAATAGGTTATGTTCTTTCTAATAAGGGGTCCTGCTGCTACAGCAAGCTTCACTCTCCTTCCCTCACTTAGGGTATTGATTACATGCCAAAGCCACTTCCTCATTTATGTGAATCAGCTGAGAAATGGCAGCATTGACAATGAGTGTTTCATGTACAGCTCATCATCCTGAAGTGCTGTAGTTTTTTGGTGTGTTATGATCCATAACCCAATTATAGGCTACTTCATTTTCCAAGAGTACCAACTTACATATGCCCATATTTATTCACGTGGTGGGCTTTTTTGAATGAAAACACTCTTAGTACGCTCATTTCCTTCCCAAAATATTGTCTCCTCTTGCTGTTTGCAAATAAATCACGTCCCATATGCCATCCTAGAGGTGGTTAGATTTCTGTGAAGAGCGAGATGACCACCTTCTCATAGGATGATGAGAAGAAAGAGCTATGAAGGGAAAAGATCAGTGTTTTAGATTTTAATCACTAAGGTAGAATTGACAGACCTGGAGTTGTTTGTTCTGCATGCAGACCTCTTACAGATTTCTGGGGAGCTGGTTTTGAAATATATTTTCTTTTGAAACACCAAAGCAACTTAGAATTGCTGGTCATAGTAAAAATAAAAGAATTCAGGGCCCTACGTCACAAAGGCAAAGAGAATTTAAGGGAAAAATTAAAACCTTTTGATAAAAAAAAAAAAAAAAAGGAAATTTAATTTAGGATTGGGTTCATTTCACATAATGTTGTCTGTGTAAAATGCTGCCTGAAGGCAATGAAAAGACACAGACATCTCCAGGGGGGAATTCAGTCCTTCTTTCTTAATGCTCTAAACTCTGTGGCCAGAGGATGCTCTTTGAAGTCCTGTTTCTCTCCCCTCTGTAGGAGTGATTCAGTTCCTAGTTAAAAGCAATTAGTGACATTTTAGGTGACCTAGTATCCTTCCTGCCCTTCAGCTGCTTCTCCATGAGCCTTGGGTCTCTTGCAGGTCCTGTGTTAGAGATGGCAGTCCCATGCGCGTGTTTGGGCAAGGTAGCCAGTCTCTTGCTACTGGCTGAAACTAAACACTTCACTTGTAGACACCTTAGTGCCATTGAGACATCGGATGGTACAGTATTACAACCATTTAATTAAGAGGATGCTGTCAAGGCCCTGCATTCTCTTTTGAGCTCATGGTCACTTGACGCTGCAATAAGCCAGTTAAATTTTTGACCTGTCCAGTTCAGCTCCCTGATGCCCTCCAGGCAGCCCCAAACAAACTCCAGTCTCTACAAGGGGGTGCGTGGATGTCTGGCAATATAGGCAGGTTTGGAAGAGAGAGTGAGACTCCAGCAACACCAATTCAGAGCAGCTCAGATTTTGTAAAGTGGTCAAAAGATAAGAAAAACTGAAGTTGACTTTCTACAGTGTCGTAACAACATAAATCTTTCTCCATGCCTCCCATCTTCTTCCTCTTCTCCCTAGTTCCAACAGAGAGGGCTGAGTTGGTTGTTTTCCCAGTTTATTTTGTGTTATCTCGTTCCAGTGGCAGAAGAAACAGAGCTTATTTTCAGTGCCAAACACATTCTGTTTTTTCTACCCCAAGGAGAACCATCGTAAAGAGAATATACTTTATGTTGACCAGTATCAAAGGTAGGGGGTTAATTTTTGCTCAGTTGTATATTTTGATTCTGGCCCTGTGGTCTGTGCATAAAGAGAAGCTCTGAAGTCACTCCAGAAGGGAACAGGTGAGTAGCTTTATCTTTTCCAAGTCTCTGCTTGTTAAAGGTCTACTGGGTGAAATGTGTAGTCCCCTTCTAAGGCTAAGGGTTAAACATCATCAAGAAATGTCTCTGATCTGTCAGACTAAGAGGAAAAGAGCAGGGAAAATGTAAACTTCATATTGACATAGATCCAAGTAGAAACCCTTCTGCTGGCTAGGGTGCATCATGGCATGGCCTTTTAAAAAGGATAGAGGTATAATAGTAGCTCTCAGCTATTGCAAGAGCTGCATGAGGCCACAACCTGAACTTCCCTCACATTTCTTGCATCTATACCAGAGTGAGCTGCAATTAATGCCAATTTTGTATATTCAGTGAACAATTCTGTCTGGCATGAGCAGAGAACACAGTAATATTTCCACAAAAGCAGGAGAGCAATTGCACTGTCACCAACAGTGTGCTTCAGAGCAGTCTCCACAGACACATCATGTCAGGAAAAAGCTCATAACAAGCCTTAGCAGTACCTATCTGCACACACCTCACTCAGACTCCATACATGAGCATGTGTTTGTCACACATACAGGCTGACCTCTCTTTTTGTTACACTACAAGCTGGTCCTGTTTGTGAGGCTGCCACAGTAAACTTCCTATTTGCCAATCTTCTAATAAGCAGATTTCTATCTCCCTGTTTGATTTGCTTCCCCTTCTGCTCCCCTCTCCCATTTTACAAAGGAAAAAACAGAGGAGAGATAAAAACACTATCCGCAGAACCAGCAAGGCTAGGCATCAAACATGATTAGCACTTTGCCTGAGGACTAAACCCACTATCCATGACTGCGATGAGTTCAACAATCACTTAGAAGTATCTTATGGAAATGGCTTCTCTGATTCCCACTTCCTGCCTTTGTTCTGTTTACTGCTCCGCCACTTGACCTATTCAAGCCCACAATCCAGGCTTTTACTCCAACCAGTCCATGAGACAGAAGAGTGTTTATGACTATTAGGGGCTGGGGTTTTTTTTTATGTTTTTAAATTCAGCTTTGTATTTTCAGTTGTGTATAAGAAAACTAGATGCAAGATATCATTAGAGAATCAAACAAGGGACTGCATCCTCTAGATGTATACTAGGAATAACCTCAAGCCAGTGATACTGGGTAAGTCACCTTTTTCTTGGTGTTGGCATGTTATGACTGGAGAGCAATTTACCAACTTTCTCAACTCCCACAATGGATAGCAATCTGATATGTTAGATTATCCTAGGTAAACACTCATCATCCATATTAATACCTGCTTCTAGCTGTAGTTATTGATCATCTAACAAGAAGGTGACGTATTGCAAATGCACAGGACTGATGCTGATGTATTCAGAAGGTATTCACCTGGCTAATGGGGTGCATCTCCAAGTGTATCCATCTTTCAATCATTTCTCTGACTTTCTGCAAGACTACAGGTTTCCCTTGGGAGTCATCAGACCTTCTACTTCTCCATCTACGGGGCTGACAAGAGATCCCTTTAGACTCCTCCACCCTGCCACAGAAGGGGAGGGAACCTTCACTCTGAAGATTTAAAAAGGGACCCTTAAACCTGTAGGAGATCTTGTGGCACATTATCCCAAGAAAAGAAGACTGAAGATTTGCCACTGAACTAAGTATGAAGGTGAGTGAGACTCTTTTGGTGTGTGGGAAACATTTAGTTTGCAATTTATGCTTTTTCATAATATTTATATATGTATATATATTTAGGAACTACAGGGGTCTTAATAATTTTAACTTAAAAATAACCTGAGAGAAATATACACATAGTTATATTCAGTGCACTTGAAACAACTGCATTAAAAAAACATTGTGCTCTCAAAAGCAAGATGAAATAAACCGCTGTGGGTCAATGCTAGATGATATTGCCCACCACTATTATCAATACATGAATAACAACATGGTCTGTGTGAACAAGCACAGATTCAACTTGTTCACAGAGGATTTATGCTCAATGCTTTCATTTGCATGTGCTGCATCAGCGAACAAACTCCAAGAATTAAAAAAGCCTGTCTCATGACACATGCGTAATCATGGTTGATGCAAATAGAATGCCAAGTTTAAAAACTTTCTTTTCCTGAGGAAGTAGTGATTTGCTCTCCTGGTTGGCTGGTTTGTTTGTTTGGAATGGCAAGTCCCCTACAGTTGCTTGTTGTCTAGACTCTAAGATTCAAGGTTTGGTAAAATCAAGATATATCATCATTCCCCCTTAGTTTACACATTATTCTAATTTCTGGAGGATCTAATGTCCTTGTAAATAGGAGCACAAAAGGTGCCTGCCTTGATGGCTGTTTTCACCGCTATGGAACCTTTATAATGAATATTAGTAAAGAGGATAAAGTATGTTTGATTTAACATTCATCCTCCCATCAGATGACTGTGTATTGAAGCTGAAATAGCCTCTGAGCAAGAGGAGGTTTGGCAGCAAGACAGGGAGAAATGAGTGACTGGAAATACCCTCACATTTGGATTTGAAGTTGAGAGGTTTTACAACTCTGAAAGGCTTTTCCTTTACCTTGTGGTTCTTTGTTGTGCACAGGGACTGCGTAAACTGACAGCATCTGCAATGGCACTGTTCCTGGCAGCGTCCTTCATATCTTTCTCCTGGAGTGCACCTCAGGTAAACTGCTTGCTCAGGCTGAATGTGCAGCATCCATGAATCTCACAGGTTGGTGCTGTTTAAGTATTTGTACTAGTAAGTAATTGCATGCAATGTTGACATGTCTCTTTTCTCTTTTTTTGGCATAAAGGCTCATTTCCAAAGGAGAAACTGGACTCCTCAGGCTATGCTCTATTTGAAGGGTGCACGTAAGTCCCGAGCTCTTTCTGTTTTGAGGAGGTAACTTTCTCTACCATTGGATTATTCCTGATCTGCTTGGCTCCACATAAGCAGCAAATCCCTGAGGATGCTGTGGAGCTGGAAGTGCTGAGGCCTGAAGGGATGTGCTAATTAGCTATTTCTTCTTGCCTCTGAAACAGTGGCATCGCCAGTATTTTATTATTTTTAAAAGAAATCAAACTGAAGAAAGCAAGTGTTGGAAGAAGAAAAGCAAAACAATATACTGAAGATGTATAGAGTTTGAATCTTGATTGTAGAATCTATTGGAAAAGCAGCTTCCTTATCTGAAATAATCTTAAAGGGTGTTTAAGACACACTGGATATAGTCATCATACCTTATTCTCACTCAGGCTTTATTAAAACATCTTCTCAAGCAAGAGAACACACATTCCTATTACAAGCATCTTGCATTAGAGCTGGTATTAAGACTGCAAGCAACCTCTTCTAAGGAGAACTTGGATGTCAGTGTTATCAATATTGTGGTGTTTTAGGTTGTGCAAATGATCTTTTGAGTTTCTATTGTTATCCCAGAGTTAAAGAAGCATTAAATATAAAGATAAAATATAGAGCCAAAGAGAAATCTTGTCTTTTGATGCAAACCCACAAAATTTAACAGAAATATTTGTATTTTTAAAAATCTTATTCTGAATTGTTGTTTCAAAATTAAAAGCTATCAGGGAGGGGATGTATTAAGAAAGCAAGAAAAATAGCTTTCTTTAAATTAAAAAAAAAAAAAAAATTGAAGCTCACAATCCTGAGAGAAATGCAACGGGGAGACAATACGAATGGTAACAACACAAAATAAATAGAGGCTTCCAACAACTGCAAGTGTAACTGAAGAAAGTTCTAGTGACATTATATGAAATTATTTCTATTCATAAAAGCAAAGAATTTGGCCCTTTTTTCTTTTGTTTAAATCTTCTGACTGAATAATGCACTGTGTTACTTCTATACTGACCTGTGTATCATTCTTATTGATGCAGAGAAAGTAATGTGATTTTACTTTTTAGGGTTTTTTTCATTTTTTAAAAAGAAGTATCCCTTTAAAAGGCAATACTTTAAAGTCCAGCAAAGAGATTGAAGGCTCTTGACCATACAGCTGTTGAGGAAAGAATTAGGAAAAGACAGTAAATTCCTCCCTGTGTACAGTTCCTACAGCAGATTAATACAAGAATGAAAAGTGCTGAAACACCAGTTCTGTGGAATAAAGTATGTCTTAAGGATGTCTTCAGAATGGGCTATTGCTGATTTGGGAAGACCCCAAGATGGATTTATGCCTCCCATTTTATGTTTGTAGAAGTATTGTTGTAATTTTGTATTTTGAAAAAAATAATGTAGGGATTGTAAAATAGAAATTACAACAGATTTGGGAGGTTGTTTTCACTCTTTTCCCACTGCTTTTGTAGAGGGACGTCGATTCATCTCAGATGAGAGCCAGCTAAAGGATCTGTATGACAGAATGCAGCTTGGTAAGTACATGTGCGCGGGTGTATGTAACACATCAGTCTTTCCTCAGATTATGGGAGAAAATTGTGGAAACTGGAGGGGATTTTCTTTCCTGGATTTATATTCAAGGAAGCAATTACACTCCTTTCTGTTAGTTCCTTCATTCCAGAAAGAACATGAACATGATAGAGACTGTCTGACTTTCCTCTCATGTGTACCTGTGTGACTTAATTTACCTAAGTGATGTTCCAGACTGACCTGGCTGTTGAATGGGATTATCATCAGTACCTTTGACTTTCTCTTTCCACTGAAAAAAATCAAATCAAGTTGCTAATTGTGCTGAACTGGCAAATGAAAATGTAGACAACATGAATCCATGCTAGACAATATTTTTGGAGGAAACAGTATGTGGTAGTGAAGTAAGGAATATATGAAAAAAAAAAAAGAAAATGTTCTTTTTACCTTCTAAGGGACTTTAAAACAGCCTCCTTCTAAAAAAAGATTGCTACTCTCTTCTGTCTTACATATTTATCAGGCTGGTTTTGAGCAGAGAATGTTATAGAGCAAAGGAGATAACACTATTTTTTTCTCTTTCAGTTTCCAATTATAGAGATAAAAAAGCAAAGAACAAAATAAAAAAAAGCCAGTAAACACTAACAAACCATGTATCTCTGATTTTATAATCCTAGAAACACGCAGCCAAAACACAAATCCCTTATCTCTATCTGAAGCTGCAGCACTGTTCCTTAGTTCCTTATGGAAAGCACAAGCAGGTAAATGCATGTTTTGTCTTACTCTGACTTTTTAAAAAGGAGTTTATCAGTATTTCATTTACTAACAATTTAGTAAATTGATCTAAATGGCCTGGTTTGAAATGAGATACTACTCCACAGAGTACATTGTATTAGGGTGCATATTTACACAGAGTAGAACATGAATCAGATAAATGATAGTAGGTAAAGTTTTGTATATTCTGCTTTTAATTTGCTTTTCCGATTTTTATTGGTTTAGATTCAAGGGAATGGCTATTTTGAATTGAATTTTCCAAAACAATACTGGGGCTTCTTTTTCTGCAGAATATTGTTTGCTTGTGAAATTCTCATTCCTCCACTGGCTCTTATGTCCTTGTGTAAAGGCTTAAAAGAATCCTAAAAAGCCCCAGCAGAGGAGCTGTGGGATTCACACTTGACTCTTGAGAGTTTTGTCACTGGTACAGGTGACGAGGGGTTCCAATGACATTTAGAGGCAGAGCCCTGAAATATTGTGAAAAATGCCATAATTCATTCATGTGTTCCCAGCCTCCCAGAAACATTGTCTAACCCTCCCATCTCTATATTCTCACCACCTGTTACATGCTTCTGCTTCTCACTTCAGAAACACAGAACCCACATCTCCCTTCCACAACACCACCCAGCAAAATCCAGCTACCGAGTCAGGCTTAAATAATTTATGTTTCCTCATGTCCTTCACATATATTGCACCCTCTTAGATGAGGACCCATATCCTATGTTCCCCAGTTCCCTCACTCTGCTATAGTTCACCTTTCCTCCCTAGATCAGCTTTCCTTCAAAGCTGTTAGCCCGAACCCCTCATGGTCTGGTGCGAACGTACAGGTCACCAGGGTGAGACCCTAAATCTACGCTATCCATTTCCTCTGTCTTTCTACTTTTCACCTCTTCAGGTACACAGAACATTTTTTGGAAATGGAGATGGGGGCAGGGAGATTGTGAAAGGAGGATACACCCTGCAGGCTGTGGAGAATCTATGCTGTGCTGGCTGTTGTAGCACACACAAGCCCAGGAGTTTGCCGAAGTTATGCCCTTCCCCACTCTGGTTCAGGGCAGGGAGGAACAGAAGGTGGCTAGAAGTTACCTTTGTTTCTTACCATCCTGGTTGTGAGTTCCTTATTCAGACCCTTAATTTCTGTCATCTTGACAGGAAGAAAAAGCACATTACTTGAATGAGGAAAAGTGAAGTAAAACCCTTGTAAGATATGAGGTAGTTTCATACCTTTCACATAGATGTATGATAAAACAGGCCTGTTACTGCCTCATCGCCCTTGACATCATTGACAGTGTGTGATAAATAACTGCCTTGCCATCACTGCGATATCACCTCTCCCTAGTTATCTGAAAACACCTCACAGAATTTACCTGGTGTATGTGCAGATATGCTGGAACCAGTCTTGTCTTCTCCACTTCCTAAAATCTCCCACTGTACCTCATGTAGCGCTGGGGCTCTGTGCTCAGCTCGCTCTTCCCTGCCCTGGCAGAACTCTGCTAACCAAAAAAATTCAGTGGCGTTTTGACTGAGAGAGAAAAGCAGAATTAACAATGAACATAGTGCTTTGGACAAAATATATGAGCAGTTCTAAAGACAAATCAGTGAAAGTATTAGTTGTATGCTAACATAAAAAGAAAATCCTCTGAGGTTCACTAGTCATAAATTTTAGTGGTATTTTCCTGTCTGCTGTTGCTGTTCTAGAGGAGATGGTGGACAGCAACAGCCCCCTGAGAAAAAAATGTGTTGTATTTGAATTTGAGAGAGCTAAGCAGAACTGGATCTTGTTTGAAAAATACTATGTGGCATAACGTTGCCATCATTGTAGTAGGGAATAACAAGCCAGTGAAACCTGGGTAAGCCATGCACTTTCAGAAGAAAACATTCAGGTGATTTTAGAGTCTTCTTGACTGAAAGAGATGTGCCAATAAAGAACAAATACATTATTTTGTTCTGCATGAAAAATTGTGCCTTGTACTAAGATACCCGTCTGCACACAGTTTGTATCTTTGCTCTTCAGCAAACAGAAAAATTCCTACATTTAAAATGAGAGAAGATATGATTATTTCTACAGATGCCTGCATCTCTTAGCTAAGCAGTCACATTACACTAGGCCTGTGCTTGAGGCACATCTATCTTGCAAAAACTTTGGCTCACTGAACTTTCCTTTATCTACATCTTATTTTTCCCCATTGTGTCTTGTCTTACAGCTGAAGAAGAAAACAGCGATCACCCTGGCTACTTGACAGATAATATATCAAATTGGTGAAAAAATTCAAATTTCTTTAACATTTGTATTGCATATACCCTGAAATCATGACTTGTGTAAACAGAGTATTTAATCCATCCTCACTTGAGTTTCCAAAGGATGATGTATATAAGCATTGCAAAATTTTGAATGCAAATGGCTTAAAAGCTACTAGCTCAGATAAGAAAAGTATTTGTAAAGTTCCTGCTTTGTTTAGACCATTTTGTATGTCTCACCCAAAGTTTAAAATACACTGTACCACCTTACCTGAAAAGATGAGTAAAACTCCTTCTGGACAATGACTTCATTAAAAACAATTTTTTAACAGTCATTGGGAAACCTTTTGCCACCCTTCACCCAGCTGTATATCAAAGCCTTTTTATTTCTGATAAAGGTAAATTCCTTCACCACTTCAGTGCTGGCCTTGGAAGTTGCTGATGGTCAATAAAGTCAGTGAGATATTAAAACAATCTAGCTATCTTTGCCTGCAAAGCCAGTGTTTTTTTTTCAGATATATTTCACCACAGAGAAGAGGCAACAGCACTTACTTATATGCGTGCAGAAACATATACTCTGAACAATCCTACTGAGCAAGTCCCACCACTTAAAGATAGTGTGGGGGTAGGTCTTACAGGATGAGGGCCTCATTAATGACTATGGCATGCAGTCACTACTGATGTCAGGAGGTGCAGCACTGCTGGAGCTGGTGGTGGTGTAGTAGGTACAAATCTAGTGTCACACATGACAACAGGCACAGAGAATATTAACTGCATCATTACTGTATCTTTTTGTTGGCCTGGTTTTTGAGTTGAAAAACTGGAATTATATATTAATTGGTTAATTATCATTCCCTGCTGATAAGGATATATTTAACATTATTTATGTAGTTTTGTGGTCTTACTGGAAAGCCCTCTACAGTTCTCATGTCATTAAAAAGTAGCCACATTATTCTTGTGTCCAGGCAACTGTGTTTTATTTTTTTAACCTTTAACCCTATTTGTGCTCTTCATCTTTTAATGCTACTTTCCTCTGCTCTTTCTCATGACACTGGCAATTAATTTTATTAACTCACACTAACTATAATGTTGCTTCTTCTCGATGCAAAGAAATGCAGCTGAAGGAAGAGAGGAATTCATTTATATCATGGGACTATAGTCACTTTCGGTAATTGTTTATAAACGATATAATTTCATGGAGGAACGTAACTAGAAAAATCAAAATGTCCTTGTTTATTTTTAAGCACTATTTTATCTTTCAATAGCAATATATGTTGTATGACAGAATACATTAATGATGAACCTAATCTAAAAACCAATGGTATCCACCAGAATATTTTAATTAATTTAATTATTCTTTGTTTCAAGTGTACACTGGATATCTCAGGTGCATCTAAGCTATTTTTCAGCATATTTTACAGTGTGATCAGTCAGTGCTCAGACAAGTAGAAGGCTTATACATCTTTGGGTTTATTAGTATTGTGAAATTCATATCCCTCTAAATGGCCCAGGGATACAAAACCTGTACTAATCACATTCACAATTGACTGATTTTTGTATATATTCCTGATCTAAACTCACTAGCTTCAACAATTCTTTACAAATATCATGAAATAGAACAAACATTCTGTCTTGTTGGTGAGCTGTTTGTGAAACCCTCATATTTTCAATCTGGCAGATAATCGCTTATATAACAGATAGCTGCTACCAAGCTTGTCAGATGTCAGTAACTGTTAGAAATGTGTGACATTTAAATTAGGCAATCTGTTGCCTTGACTGAATGAAAAGCCATTCCCTCTAACACTGCAAAATCAAAAGGCAGAGATGTTTTGCTGTAGTTAAATTGCCTTGCTACTGACAGCTAGCTCTAGCATTCAAGGCAGAACTGAAATAAGCCTAGAAGCATGAAGCAGAGGTCACTTTGGCCACTGCAGGACCATTTCTGAGAGGAACGGGCACAGTATTCACATTAGCCATATCTGAAAAGCTGTGCAGTTTCTGTCACCAGGCAGGTGCTCAAAGCATGTGAGCGTGCTGAAACAAACACAGCTGGCTTTGTGTGAGGTGTCGTGCCAGCTCTCTGCTCTTCCCTGGGAGCTCAAACACCATAAGCACATCTAAGAGAACTTGCAACCCGAATCATATATGTTCTTTATTTTTCTCCTCTGGGACTTGTCCTGAAAGAACAAGTATAGCTGATTTAATGCAACCCTAGCAAAACTTTTCCACTTTCCATATTGTCTGTGTCCCTCCATCATTTAGCAATATTTACAATATGTGCGTAGTGATCACATCTTTCAACACTGCAATGAAGCAGGGTCTGGAATGATGACGAACAGTAGCCACCAGCCTGTGGCTACTAAAACATTTTTAGGCAACAAAGGAAGTGATGGATCACTCTCAGATGATGCTAATGCAATTTTGATGGCAGGGAATTTGGGGTGAAATGTTTTTCTTCCATACAACACTGCACTGAAATACAAGCAATAATGTCAGATTTCTTGAATTTTATTTTGTTTTAAGAGAACATTAACTTTCGAATCCATATGCCCTTTAAATGTGTTTTTGTTGGGACTGTCAGCCATTACACACTCTGATTAAAAGCATGTTGGGGAAGAAGATGCATTTCTGAACTCACAAAATGAAGTTGTTCTCCACTTAGTAAACCGTATGAAGGAAAATATTTGCAGTATCTTTGCTTTCACCACTTATGAAAAAATAATTACTCATTGTTTTAGTTACTTTCAAAATGGCTAAAAAAAAAAAAAACAACTCCTTTTAAATCCAATTAAGTTTTTCCCATAAAAGCCTAAACCTGTTTTCTGAGAATAGTTTTGCTTTCAGGTATCCAAATCAGTTTAAGAATGAAAGTCCAATTTTAAAACTGATTTTAGATGGCCAAAAATACAAATAGGCACCTAATCACTTTTATTCTATATGGCCTATAGTAAGAACCACATCATCAGATGTTGGTTAAGTGTTTGAGAAATAGGTGTCTAATCAAAGTTGGACAAGTAGGCTCCCTCTGGGATTGACAGTGAAGGTAAATACCTCCAAAGGTTGCATCGTCCTACCTGCTGAAGAATAGGATGAATCAATTCCTGGAAATGTTTTTTCTTCAACAGCATGAGAAATTTTTAGTGCACAAACTTCTAAAATAAAAGATGAATCTCCTTCCTAATGTCTTCATGTCAAGATCTACTTCTGAAGAGTGTGTTTGGGCACTCTTTGCATCTCTAGGAATTGAAATACTTTTGAAAGCTTTCTGTAGGGCAAATAAAATGTCTAATTCTTGTTTTGATGCTCAACTTTTCCCCAAGCACTTTGAAGTTTCAGGTGCTTTTCAAAATTATGTCTGTGGGGCAGATGCGTTCTCAGAATTCTTTTAACATTATTTGTTATGATTAGGTCCCTTCTAGAAGAAGTGAAATAGACTATGAGCTAATGAGGCAATTGGAAGAATGTGAGTTACTCATCTTTGAATGTTGTCACATTGCTCTATGACATGTAGATTTGTCTGCAGGGGAGGGTGTTACTTAAGGAAATTTTGACATTCTCCTTAGCCGTCACATTAATTTCCTCCCAAACTAGTTTGTTAACAAACTTAGATTCTAAGATGAGGTGAAAACAATAAAAGAGACATACCAGAGGAACCAGAAAACAAACAGTCTGCTGTTTATTGTGGGTCTGAATGACTTCAGAAAGATGACTTCATTTGTCTCTAAAATTCAAATGCCCACTCCATAAGACTTTATATTGTTCCACAGGAAGTATATTCTACCACCGGATCGAGACACTTCTGTGTGTTGTGGAAAAAAATGTTTTAAATTATGTAAGCTTACAATAAACAGCATAAGGAAAAAGAAAGACCATTTTCTTTTCAGTATATGTTTTTCAACCCTCCCAAACTTTCCCCAGTACAACAAATATTTCTCTGAATTTTCTGAGCTCTGCCTTAAAGTTCATGATACTTTAGGAGGGGAAAAGGGGAAACATAAATGAAGCAGGAATTCAATTGGGACACCCATAATGGAGCTATCAGCATAGACTATGATTAATATAGATGATTTTGTAGACAAAGGTAAGATCTTCAGTTTGTATAAGCTCCTGAGGGGATTGTTGCATTCTCTAGGTTTATTAAGCTTGAGAAATCACTTCTACTTCAAAGGCGCACATAAGAATTGTCATTTAAAGTACTTTCAAGGTAAAATAATATTAGGTTTTCCAACAATGTAGCTCAAGCAACATTTAAGATTCCCCTAGTTATATCACACTGTCTTTAACACAAAGCTTACCAAGACTACAGGAGAAACTGTTGAATAGATGGAGAGACCCTGACAGGGTGAGAGCAATTAATTCAGTTCCTGTATTCTCCGTGCTGCTTCTTTATTCCCTGTGGCAATACTCCAAGGGAAAAGGGAGACTTGATATTTTGCCTATCTCTTTCGGCTTCCTCATCCTCATCATATCTTTCATCCTCATCTTCACCTTCACTATTGTGAGGGCTGGAATGCTGAGAGACAGAAGGTGATGGTGGCACTGATGAAGGCCTGGGGTACCTGAAACCTTCCGTCTGGCAGAGAGAAGCAAATTGTATATATTATCACAGTGTTCCTCAACTGGTTGCATACAGCAATTTAAGGCTATCAACACTTCAAATGAAACCAATAGTGAGATGTAAGGTAGACCTGCTCTGCACTCTAAAATTAAATTCCTTTGAACTCAGATCCCCTCAGCCCTTCTCTGCCAGTAAATACATGCTTGTATGGCAGTGATTTTTAGCCTGTACCATAAACAATATGCTCCCCTTCCAGCACTGCTTTTTGGAAAAATATTACTATCTTTATTGAGCCTTAAAAAGTCTCAACACAACACAAAATCCTATCATTCTGTACTCTGTAGTCAGAATATGCTTACTGAAATTCAGAATTCAGTCTGAAATTATAAAACCATTTTCTAGTTATAATGTCAATATCTGAAAAACCAGAACCAAGCAATGGGTTTTGGTCTGAGCCTCCTTTCTCCTTCCTATTTAAAAGAAAAATGAGTTGTGCTCTGGAGGTGTCTGGAGGTTTGTCTTCAAATAACATTGTTCTTACACTAGATCTGAGCAGCGTCCCTTCTCAAATTGGTGCTAATATACACTATGCAAAAACTGTTTGAAGGTATGCCCTTAAACTGACCCTTGCAGATCCAGTCACAGCCTCGTCCTCACATACCATGTTTAGATGAAGGCAACACTTTGCCTCACTTTCCCTAGAACATCCTTTCTTAGCTCCCCTCCTATTTGGTTTGTGCAGAACATCTCCATGGCATTTATCAGAAGCAAAATTAGAAGCTGCCATTCTTCTAACAAGGGCCAGTTCCTCTGCTGGTCTCAAGTGGCATAGTCCCATCCAGGTCACTCAAAATCACCTGAAGAACTGTTCTTGTATTGCACATCATACCCCTACTCTTTGCAACTGATACCATTACAACTCTTGACTGGATTTCAGGTCTATAACTTGTTGAGCTTTTAACTATGAGTTCCTACTTCCCTTTAGTTAAAACAAAACTTGCTAACTCTCTTCTCTCTCTTTCTGTCACAAACACACACACTCTTTCTCTCTCTGTAAAGTAGCTAAAATGCAACTGAACTCATCTCTGAGAGCAGACTTTACCTTTGGTGGAGCACTTGGTTCCATCTCAAATTTATCTGGGAATGTTCTGCTGAGGGCCAAGTGTCTGGCATGAACGTAATACTGCAACACAAAAGAGAAGCCTTTACAAGTCAAGGAAGTCTTGGGTAGACTTAGGCAGGAAAAAAAAAAAAGGAACATAGAATGAATATCTTGTAAAAGATGATGCTGAACAAAGGCCAAACATGTTTTCAGCTAAACAGAATCCAACTGATATCACTGCTGGTAACGAACACATTGCTGTGAAGTAGTGAGCCATTCATGTTAGATTCATGCTGAAGTTGAGTCTGGAACAGAAGCTGAATAAGGTTTCTGTAAGACTAAGATGTATTAAGATGGAAAACAGCACTTGCCCCAGTCAGTGTAGTTCTTATTGAGCAATTAGTATTCTTTATCCCTCAGGATAGAACTGGCTCTTTTTTAGACAGGAAAATTTACATCTTTAAACGTGCGTGTGTATATACATAAACTTTAGACTTATCCTTGAATAGGAAACGTGTGTAACAGTTACAGAAAAGTAACCTATATGAGTTTACTGAGGTCTGGCATTTAACAAAAATATTTATGGATCCACTATATTCACAAGTCCGCATCACATGCACAGAAAAAATAGCTTGTTGTGGCAGGGACTTATGCTGCATTGGGAACCACATAAACAGAAAAGCTCTCACACAGATATCAGAGCAGGACAAGGTCCAAAATAGTTACAAAACTGATGTATGTGTATCCACTTCTTTGATCACGTGGACTTGAGAATATTGCTTTGCTACTGTCCTAGCAGGTGGTACTGCAGTGTTTTCTATGTCAAATGAAAACCACTATTTCACCTTCAAGGCACAGAGGTGGTTTAGAAGTGCTGAGGAGCCACAAGGCCCAGCAGCATTTTAGGAAGAACAGGTATAATTTTTGAAAGAGTCCAGATGACTTTGGAGCACAAATCCTACTTAATGTAGGGTTGCCAAAGACACAAGATTTTTCCATTGTCTTCAGCACAAGGAGTACAAAGACCTCGGTGTGACTGGCTTTTGCTCTAACCTGTTCAGTTAAGCCATGTCTCTCCTTAACACTGGAGAACGGAAGCATCACATTGAAATACAAAGGCAGGCTTTGACTTTAGCACCTTTGAGAGTGCTTTTCAGAACAAGGATGTCTGCATTGTAGCATGATGCTGAAGACTGCTAGTTAGATCTATGCATCTGGCATTTTTAATACCTCTGTTACATAGTTTCACACACCCTGCCTAGGTATCTCCAGTCCAACAGATCTGAGAGCCTCTCAGTTCGGTTTCTTTGGATGATCCTCTGGCGACGGGACTGCTGACAAAATCCATATAGGAACTGAGTCAGCTGGTTGCATGATTCGTCAGGTGAGCGGAACCTCCTGTCAACTATGTAGATGCCTGAAGGACACAAAAAAGGTGAAGATGAGTGAAACTGAAAAGGTGATCTGACCCCTTACATTTCCATTCAACCTTCTGTCACAAAGTCTTACAAACATTACATATATTATATGTTCTTTTTAATGTTAGATGGCAGTTATAACTGGAACATTTGTTACTATTTTGATGGAATGGAAAGCTGCAGAGAAATATGTATTTTTTATTTTAATTTTCTTTACTTTTCAGGCTGAAATTCAGCACACTATTCAAAACTCAGAGACTTTGTTGTTGTGTATGTCCAGAAGGATTCAAGAGTTTCTGGATAAAGACATATCATTTTATCTCCCATAATTTTTAAAATACTTACTGCTTTTCAAAAAATAATCTAGTGCTTTCCTAGTTTACAGTAGAATTTATAAGTGTGGATGGTCAGAATAAGCCTGCAGGAGAGAGGCTGTGTTTTCTGTAGAAATATAAGTGTTTCCATAGAGATAGCTAACTCACATATATTAGTCGATACATAATTCTGGCAGAGAGAGGGCTGAGGAAAACTTTGCCTCTGTGCAGTTTGTTGAGATCAATACTTCATTCTTGCTACCCTCCTTATACCGGGGTGTTGGGAAGAAGAGGGTACTAGACCTCAGATATCTTAATGGACAAGATAGTTGCACAGCTACCTTAACTGAAGTGCCTGGTGTCCCCGAGGAATGTACAGTAAGTTATGTCAATGCTCACATCTATGTTTTGGCAGAGAAGAGCAAGTGACCTGTGCTCTTGGTCTGTGATCTTTCTGAAGGCTCTCAGAGACTTGTCTACCCGGGCAGGCATAGATATATTTTGCAGATGGCTCTGCCCCTGACCCTAGGTCAGGGCATAGCTGGTACTAGTGTGGAGCTGTCATTGTCTGATTGTACAGACAAGCCAAGGTACTTAGAAAGAGGTCCTAGTTTGGGCACATTTTCAATATTGTCTTGACACACCAGGAGCTGGCTACCCTCCTGCTCTTCACACTCCAATCATGAATGATTTCTAAACATTTACGAGCAGATTCTTATTTGTAAGTAGGTTCCTTTTATTTTCATAGGTTTATTTTTTAGTGTACATGATTTTTTGCTCTTTGTTTGGTGGGGGCAAGTTTAATTGGCCTCGAAGTCCCAGTGCATTCTCCTTGGATTATTCAAAGAGTAGCAGATTTTCACTACTGCTTCTGAAGGGCTCAGAGTGTTATAGTGTAACCAGAGGCATTAAAGAGAAGTGCTGGGAGGCTCTAGAGTAGTATGAGTTTAGAAGGATAAAGCAGATAGAAGGTTAAAGGGAGACAAAAGAGAGAGGACCTGGAAAGGGTTTGGATAAATATGAAAGCTTGAATGGCTTGTTCAACATAATGAGATATTTGGAGCTCTGAATATATTCTCCCAATGAGCTCAATTGTACTAGTGGAAGCACAAAATTGAGGAGCAACAGCATAATTGCTGTGCTTCTTGCTTTCCTAACTCAGAGGTGGTATTTTGATATGGTGTTAAAAATTTTACCATAAGCTGCTGGGTCAGCAACATGTTCTTGCATGAAACAGCCAAATCCCGAAAGGTTTGTGGTCACACTGGGAATGCCCATCACAGTACATTCAGCTGCCGAAAGAAACAGACAAAAAGCATTTCAGGGCAATATGCTTTGATCGGTTACACCTTCAGAGAAAAAAGAAAATGAAACAGGCAGACAGAATAACACTAGAGCTGCTTTGAAAATGTCAAGTGAAAACTATTATGCTTTGTTGTGGATTTGGAGAAAAAGAAAAAAGAAAGAAAGAAAGAAATTTTAAAGACAAAATTTCACACTGTTTTTGCAAACATATCTTTGTGTTTCCCAGCAGCTAAACTGAAAACTTTCTGGGAGTCATGTTTAAACAGAGAACTTCAATATATGGTCTGGAATGTTACTTTTCATTTTAAATTGAAGCCTGTTGTAGACATATGTTCATTAGTTGTTCACAACTATCTACAAAACTGAATCTCTTAAGTGCAGCAGGGTGTTAAACTTTGTATTTTGATATTCATTGTTTGTAAACTGGTCCCTATAGCAAGAAAAAACCCCCAACAAACTCCATCATTAGCTCACGACTGCATTCAAAGTAGATGTGGAGGTAGTTTTATAAAATTAGAAAATGTATGCATCTATCGTATTTATTTCTACCACCACTGTGAGTAAGGATAACTGTTTACTTGGGATTAAAGAGTTTTTGCTGATGAATTTAAGCCTGACCTAAGACAGCATACAGATAAAGTAAAATACTGTAGTCTTTGAAATGCTGAAAGCCATCTACATGGCCGTCATTCATATGACAATAAAACTGGTGTCTATAAAATAGAACTATAAATCTAGCTTTAAAAAAAATCCCTATTTGTTCCTTGGAGAATTAAATGGGTATCAACAAAGAGAATTGGTTTTGCATTAGTAAAGAAAAGAGAAACTACCCTTTAAACTAGTGTAAATCAGCTTTCCTCAAAACTGCTAAGTAGCAGTCTAACTTTTCTGTCCAGGCCTACTTTATTGCTCACTTCAAAATCATTCCTGGCTGTCACAATTTCTTTATACCTTAGCTGAGATTAGAACAGGAAGAAAATTTGCTGGAATGTAAGACAGTTGTCTCACTTGAAATCAAATAGATCTCTTGGAGACAAATAGCTCTGGAGAATTAATAAACTTGTAAAATTTTTATTCTGATTCAGGGGCTTACAACAAATACTCTTCAGAGGGGGACCCCAGCTTTCAGATGTGTATCAAGACTAGAGAAGGTATTTTGGAGGATGTAAAACCCCCAGGCACCTAGGTTTTGATCTTTACAGGTATCCAGGTTAATAGTTTCCACTGATTTCAGATGTTAAGTACCTTTTGTAAATTTGGGCCTAGTTTTTAAAGTCAGAAACTATATGCTTTCTGTATCTTTAGAAATGTCCACTGAATTCTGTGAGATTCTCTACCACTGCATGTACTTGTAGTAAAAATCTTAGATATGGTGTTACATAGTTCTATAAAACTTAATTGTTATCTTGAATGAAACCCACTGAACTATGATGGCTGGTAGCATCAGATTTCTTGCCCTACATTTTTCAATATGTACATTCCTCTAAATCTGCTTTTAAAATCCTTGAATCAAGTTTAAAACCTGATTTTTTTGTTCTAAAGTCACAGAAAATCTAAAGATTACATGTTAGTATAGGAAAGGGTCCAGCGCAGGGACAAATGTGAGTAGTTGTCAGTCAGTAGGTGCCATTTTATACCATCTGGCCCCCAAATTTTGCCAGCAGTAAGACCTTTGCACTGCAGAGGAAACAGAGCCAAAAGAGTTTTTTTCAGCACTCCAGAAGAAACTGGCTGCAACGCTATTCTGCATCAACAGAACGGATATTCATCTTCCGATACTAGTTAAGTGTACAAATTGCCTACCTGGAGTGTAACCCCAGGGTTCGTAGTATGATGGAAATACACCAAGGTGGCAGCCTCTAACAAATTCCTCATAGTCCAAGGGCAGCAATGGGCTTGTTGAACAAAGAAACTCTGGATGTAAGATCACCTGGATATTCAAAACTTACATTAGAGGTGAAAGAAAACCATCATAAATACATTTCAATTAGCAGTAAGCTTAAGCAATTTCTTAACTCTGCTCTTTTCCTAACTAACTGGACAACACCTCCTTTGACCATCAGTTATCTAATTTACTTGCCCTGGAAACAGGACTGACAATAGACCCTTTTTCTGGACAGGTCTTCAGCTTTATCCTTGTTGAGCAAGGAAGACCATGTGCATTGAGAATTATGCCTAAAGCTGTGGCATTTAGCAATACAAAATTGTTTTTCTTGGTCTGTTGTACTGAGGTACAGAAAAGTATTGAGATATCTTGTTCCAGAGGAGGCCTCAGGAAGATACAGCTTGTCTGAGCTTCACTGAATCCAACTGAAATACAGGAATGCTTACAGTACTCAGTGGATCTCTCAAGAACTGAGAAAGTTTTGAGACCAGGCATATTATAGCCCCATCATCACAATCCTGTGCCTAGGCTAATTAATCTTGCTGAAAGACAAAACTTATTAACTCAGGCTAATGTCCTGCTTTCAGGACCCAAGCTAATTTATCTGCAGGACTCTGCAGAGCTTGGGGTCACTGCCCCATATTCCACTGCAAAGTATAGAAGTGCCTTGTATATGCTGTCCAGTCAGCTTTGGGAGAAGAAAGTGTGAGGGAAGGATTTAACCTTCTCTGGACTTTTTTCCCCACATAAATGTACTGCAGCCATTATTTCATGTCAAGGATATGCTTTTATCATTTCTTAATAATAAAGTCATGCTACTCACTGGAGTAAATCAACACATGAATATATTCAGCCAATAAAGGGGCTGTAAACCCATTATGCAAGCTTGTTTAACCCCAGAGAATCAAATAAGATTTTCCATTGGCATTGCTGAGGCTATTTTTCACGTCAACTGTGTCGGCATGGATATGTCACACATCTCTTAAAATGACTTTCCATTTGAAGTTTACAGAATTTTTGCCCATGTCATTCAGCTCATTAAATATTAAGCCTGTTCATGCAGCCAGTAAATTTTCCAGTGGTAATGACAGTTTTGTGCAAATTTGACATATACCTAGCCTATCCAGTCTGCTGAGAAGCAGAAAGAGGTGTCTGTGGTGTTATATTCTATCTGCTTTCTAATGACTTCAAGCAGTTAGTTCTGAGGAATTTTTTATTACGTTTATAATCAGTGCATCATTCCACCCTACTTTTGTTACATCTAGTATATTAATAGCATATCATGCTCTCAGAGCTCATTGGAGACACACATTTAGCAGAGAATATGTTAAGCCAGGAAGAAGAAACTAGGAAGTTGAGGAAAATATTTACTCAGTTACTGTCATGAGTTTAAAAGCCAAAACACTGGGAACAAGTGATTATGTCATTGTCAGAGATATTATGGATCCGACTTTAAAAACAAGGTTTGGAAGAGGAAGAATTTGCAATTTTAGGTTCTACTTTGAATAGATGGATGATGAGATAGTCATAGTTAGCAGAGAGAATACCAGGGATTTCCAGAACAAAAAAAACTTTGGCGGACTTGTGAAAGCAGAAACTGATAATTTCAGTGGTTTGGCAAGTTATACATGGAAGTAAGGAAAGGATTTATTTACATACATTTAACTTCAACGGTTGAGGTAAACATGAGCACAGCATGAACAATAAGTATTTCTGCTCAGGATCAAAGGCCTGGTTACCTTCTACAGCAAATGCTGCATCAGGGTGCTGTTCTTAAGAGGTGAACCAATACTGCAGGAATGTCTGTGCTCAAACTCTGGATTTTCAGTTTTAAGAAAATTAATCTACTACAGAGTTTTACACCTGGGTGCAGATGACCTGGGGCACTTCCTGGATTTCAGGATTAGTAGGTCCTCATTCAGTACAGGAGGCAGCAATGAAACTAATTCCCTAACATTAGATTTCTAACTTGAAATTAACTTGGTTAAACAGCAACTGAGGACATATGTGAAGTGACTGGAAAGGCAGGAAGAGGGAAGAAGTACTCTATTAGTATAATATTGCCTATCAAGATTTTGACTGTACTCCCCATGCTAATGATCCAGACTGAGGCAGTTTAAAGAAATTCTATTTTATATCTAAAATGAAAATGACAGAATGTACCTTTACTCTGTCTGTCCGGTTATTGAAAAGGCCAATGCGTCGGATGGTATTGAGGATTGGATCATTGCCATCGTCAATCATGTTATGGGTGGTCACTGGAGGCAGACAGTGTCGCTAAAGAGAGAAAAGTCAATCTGTAAGGCAGACAAAACTGTTGGCAAAGAGTCCTGTTACCATTTTCTAAGGTTAGTAAAGGATAGCAGGAGATTTTGTCATTGATGTGAATAGCTTTTTACTCTTTCATTTTAAGGTGAAAAAGGAACGTTACAATCATATAATGTTATCTTCTATATAACTAAGGCCAGAAATAAGACCATAAAATCTATCACAGGACTTGTTTCATTTACCTCAAAATAAATGCATTTGTACTAACCTTTAGAAAGGCCCAGCATTTAGTTTTAAATTTTTTCAGTAATATGTTGTGTCTCCTTAAGAGATTAATTTTACATATTAATAAAAATGGAAGAATCCAGGCTTCAGGAACAATGAAAAGTTCACTCTTAGTGCAGAAGAAAAGAATTAAGAATTTTGGCATCCTGTATGTGACTGGAGTAATATCCATGGATTCCCCAAAAGAATTTTGGGTCATACACTCATTAAAAACAATCACAACTGATCTTTAAATGATGTAACTGATGAGAAGTATATTTGCTGAAAACATCTTTTTTAATGCACTCATATCTCTATGTGTCATACACAATCCCTGTACACAGTCATGTTTATAATTTATACTACATGTTTGTGTAAATAATACATTTTCTGACCTGAGTTGAAAAGATGGCTCTTTTCATAATGGTTATATCATCTCGGTCAAGAATCTTGTTCAAGTCTGGAATTTCTCCTCTGCAGAGGCAACACAGAGCCTATTTTATCAAATGACTTTTTATCAGTTGTGTAAAGAAAATGAAGAAACAACAAACAAGATCTGATCTGAAGTCTGCTGATGTTAACATGAATCTTTCTTTTGTTTCATGGCTCTTCTATATTTCCTACATTTTGTTCTCCCATATACTTCCTAACCTTCCAATTAGCTTCCAAAAAAGCTAAAGAATTATTTTTTTTCTGTTTCTCAGACACACCTTGTTTTTGCTGAAGTTCCAGTCATCTCATCTGTGCTTTGGGTCATTCACTTCCAACTGTCTTTTGAAAGGATATGACAAAGCCACTAATACATATTAATATGGTGCGTTTTTAAGCTCAGGGTAGCTCATTTTTGACAGCGAGTAAGCCTTTGTGTTACTTAGACATCCCCCATGTCTCTTAAGACTCTTTCCATAATTGGGTGCTAGTACCTTTAAATTTTTTCTCTCTGATTTGCCTATTGAACACATAACTTGCATATGGAACGAGGGTCCCATATCCTTCTCCTATGCCCTTTCTGTGGGTATCAAAATTTCTTACATAAAGAGTAGAAGCACAGAAACACCACAGGTAAGCCAGCTGAATATGTGGCTCTGCAAGTCAAAGCAAAGTAACCTATACACTCACTTTAGCAGTGCATTGTAGAGTTTCTTTCCAAACTTTTCTTTCACAGATTGTGCAGTGTCCCTAGGAAGAAAAATAAATATATGTATAAAACAGGAGAATCCAGATACAAAGATAGAATAAGAAACATTCCTGATGTTGGTAATTAAATTGTGCTTTCATGAATACTGATGGAACCAAGAATGCAGAAGAAGGTAGAGGTCTGGTTCTCAAAGCTCTTTTATCCAGCCAGTGGTCATACTGACAGATTTCAACACAATTGAGGATTTGACCTGCATCCAAAAATGAATGAACTGTGAAAACTTGGAGAAGACCTCACTAGCAATTAATTCTAATATATTGCTCTGATCCATAGACTATACTTTCATCTCAGCTATGAAAAAGAGAGCATATATATGACTCTACATAGAATAACATGGTCATTAACACTGGACATTAATCAAGATGAGAGATCTCCAATTTAACTTGACCTAGTAGAAAGATATATGATATAGGAGTTAAACAAATAGGGATTTTAAAGCAAGCCTCTCCATTTTCTGTCCTATTTCCTAACTCAAAGACTTTTGAAAACAAGTGTTAGACTAAAAGGTAGTTTGCCATAAATTAGTTTGCAAACCAAAAAACTTTCTGGAAAGCTCAGGCTATGTTTTAAGCTAATAATAAAGCCTATTCCAGACAAATGTTATATTTTAGCTAAGAAAGAACTCTAGTGAACAAGTGTTTTAAATGCAGAGTCGTTATTATCCTGCCCCTATTTGAGATAACTTGAAAGTACAGCTGCAAGTGCTGTTGTCAAAATAGCAAATGCACTCTCAATTTGAGTAAAACACCCACTTCATGGAACCTTTCCTGCCTTTCTTATTTCTAAGAATTATACTGTGGGCTAAGATCATACCTGTTAAGTAAAATCTTAAACTTTACCAAGCTGAGAATCCACGTACCTGTTCTTAGTTCCTCTCTCCCAACTGACATAGACACAATAGTGGATGAGTCAATTTTGAATGATTTGTAAAGCAGCTGAATGTCAAACCAAATTGATCCAAATCCCAGCAGGCTAGTCCCCTCATGACTATATTTTCATACTCATGCCATGCACAATATCCAAAATTTAACCCAGACAGGTTAGACTGCTTTTTCAGAAGCAGAGGAAACAAGGGATTTTATATCTCAAACCAGCCATCATCTATTCCTTTACAAGTGCCAACCTCTTCTTGTATTTAATTTCTGTGGCATCTTTAAAATCATTTAATATTATTATGTCATACTGACAGCAGGTGGTTTTATCCAGGAGCTCCAGATTATGACCATGATAATGCTGCCTATGATGACGCAGAGGGTCTTTTGCTTTTCCCAGAGCACAGTGTGAAGAATACCTGGAAGCAGCATTTGTTGCATGATTTCACACCTTTAGGTTTACCTTTACTGTTACTATTGTGCCTGCATTACTGAATACCAGATAAATAACCATGTAATAGAGGGAAAAACCTTTGCATATTTCATTTTATTTGAAGTTTCCTAATATCCAGATATTATTTATTTAATATGTGCCTGTTGTATTATATTCAGACATTACTTACTTTATATAAAGGCAAAACAGAGGCCAAAAGCACTTGTTGCAAGCATGGCTGTTTCTTGCTGTACTCACATTATTTTCCTACTGTTCTTGTGCACAGAGTTCTCATTAAAAACTCTGGCTATGTTACCCTACTTTAATCACCTACAGTTTGAGCTAGTTGTGCAGATCCTCCATACATCTGCAGAGGGTGACAGTCCATTTCAGAGAATGATTCCGTTCACTCATCTTAGACACTTTCTGAAGTGGTATAGTAGGAAAGATAATTTGGTGTGAACCATCTCTCCATTGGCAGTGAAAGCAGCTCAGATACATTCCTTTTAGGAAGCCAGAGTTGGACAATTAATTCCAATCTCTACATTTGTACTACCTGTTTCCAGAGTGGTAACCAGGTAGAATGTTTTATGTAAGTCCCGAGACTTTTTTGTGTGATTACTCCAAAGGTAATCTATAGAGTAGACAGATTTCTCATATCTGATGTCTTTTCCAGATATGGCAAAAGGTAAATGATTTCAGTGATTCTTGTTAAACTATTTCTGTCACTGTTTTTGTGCAGGTTTAGGATCTGTTAATCAAAGACTTCAACTTGACTACTGATATCCAGGAACTGAGCCAGAGATCATCTACTGGAGGCAGTTAATGAGATAAGAAAAATAGTATCATTCTCTTACACAGTGCCTTTCCTCTAAAGATCTCAGTCATTTAGATTTCTAGCATTTTATAAAAATAGAACTGGCATCAAAAAGAGGTTAAACACAGTCCCTTAGCTTCCTTACTTCTGCAGCAGATTTTAACTGCTTTAGCCTCCTGATAAGGTACACATTTCCATTTCCCTGCTTAGATAATTAATCTGTAAATACATTGAGTGAAGCAGCATTTTTCACTTTCTCAAACAAAATTAATCCTTGATAACCGACCACTGATATTCTTTATGAATTCAAACCTTCAGCTTTGCCATGTCTCTCAGTTCTGAAGTACCTCACAACATGCATCTTCCTCTGCAGAATCACACAGCAGTTAAAGTGAGGTGAAGGTTAAGTCTGCCCCTGTTTTGCTTTTTTGTTTGGGAAGTCATAAAGTAAAGACTGTTAAACTGAGAAGGGCTGTGACAATTTTCCCTTTACAGCGGTAAGTTTCACTGCTTGGGTATAGCCATTGATTATTATAGGCTATACAGAAAATTACAATTGTTATCAATTGTTTTTCTGCTGGATTAGACAGTACAATTTCCATATTTCTAAATAAAAGAGGACACGTAATTTATTTATTTTTCCCACTGGTGTCAGAGAAGCTCACTCTGATAAATTAGCAGGCAGTCTTTATTTTGTGGGAGCTCAATGGCATGTCCAAAGGGAGTACCAGAAACAGTCAGAAGACATCCAGGGCACTACATTTTCTAGAACTGACTTTGCCACTGCAAAACAAGTACTATTTGCTAACCTGTTGCAAGGAATATCAAGGCATGTTTACTAAAAATAACCTATGACAAAAATATAGAAATATTTTCCCTTATCTATCATTCCCACTCTTTCATCCCCACAAAAACATTCTAATTACCCACAATCCTCAATTTTAGCAGAGCAAAAAGAAAAAGCATTATTCTTCATCAGAAACTTTTGCATGTCACCTCAATTCACTGTACAAGGCCCTCAGTGAGAATGGCAATTACCAGAGCTGCTTCCGAACTGCTTGTCCTTTCAGGGTTTCCACATTGAAATTGTTTGTCTTTGCTGGCATGATGAAGAACACAACAACTGTAACATCAGCCTTATGAACCTACATGAACACAAGATGCAGAGGAAAAAAAAAAACAACTCACTACAAGGTATCACAGCCAACTTTAACACTAAGAATTAGTCACAGGGAAAGCCAATGCACTTTGATTGGTTCTCCAGGAAGTCTCTGATCTTATAGCTCTCCCTTTATCTATGAAGTTTTTGTCAAGTCACAGATATAGCTGAGGATAGATACAGGTAAACAGATGTCACCCAATTCCAATTTGGGCAACAGAGATCATAGAATCACAGAGTGGTTTGTGTTGGAAGGGACCTTAAAGACCATCCAGTTCCAACCCTCCCTGCCACGGGCAGGGAAACCTCCCACCAGACCAGGTTGCTCAAAGCCCCGTCCAACCTGGCCTTGAACCCTTCCAGGGAGGGGGCAGCCACAGCTTCTCTGGGCACCCTGGGCCAGCGCCTCACCGCCCTCACAGGAAAGAATTCCTTTTTTATACCTGATCTAAATCTACCCTCTTGCAGTTTAAAACTGTTGCCCCTTGCCCTATCACTACACCCCTGACAAAGAGTCCCTCCTCATCTTTCCTGTAGCCCCCTTTCAGTACTGGAAGACCGCTATAAGGTCTCCCCAGAGCCTTCTCTTCTCCAGGCTGAACAACCCCAACTCTCTCAGCCTGGCCTCCCAGGGGAGGTGCTCCAGCCCCCTGACCATCTTCGTGGCATCCTCATGTCCTTATACTGGGGGCCCCAGAGCTGGACACAGTACTGCAGATGGGGTCTCACAAGAGTGGAGCAGAGGGGGAGAATCCCTTCCCTTGACCTGCTGGCCACACTTCTCTTGATGCAACCCTGGACATGATTGGCTTTCTGGGCTATGAGTGCACATTGCTGGCTCACAGTTTCCCACCCACTAACACCCCCAGGTCCTTCTCTACAGGGCTGCTCTCAATCCACTCATTGCCCAGCCTGTATTTGTGTTTTGGATCACCCTGACCTATGTGCAGGACCTTCCTCTTGGTCTTGTTGAAATTCATGAGGTTCGCACAGGCCCATCTCTCAAGCCTGTCAAGGAACTTCTGAATGGCATTCCTTCCCTCCAGCGTGTTGACTGCACCAAACAGCTTGGTATCATTGGCAAACTTGCTACTTGCTGAGATCTTCCTGACTTCTCATGATTTAGATGCCATGGCTTAGGATGTGAACATAAACTGCAAAAAATAAAAATCCTACACACATTTTCTCACCTGGCACAAACTATGTTGGCTCAAAGGAGAAAACAATTAGTTCACTATCTGAGGTATGCTCAGGCATGGGGCAAGGGATTCTCTGTTACAGCAGCAAGCAGAACTACTTTCTACAGCAATAGTGCCCCAGATGTATGGGCAGAAAAAGGCATGATAGGAACCACTATCTACCTGAACCTCTGGCAAAGAACTTGCTAGAGACAAAAAAGCTGCAAGTAACTTCTTGCTCATCTCTCATATCCAGCTACTGCAAAGGCAAAGAGCATTTTCTGTAAAATCTGACCATTATAGATAGTTTCACTTGGTGGTTTATCCTGTGTGCTAATAAGGTTCAGAATGTCAGTTCCCTGAGGGATTCCTTGCATGGAACAGAGTGAGGTTGTACTCCTGTCGACAAATAAAGAAACCTAAGGGTGAACTCTATTCAGAGCTGTAAATATTAAATTATTTTTAATTGCCTCCATTCTGTCCTGGGTTGAGTGAGTGGTGGAGTTTTTTGGTAGCAGGGGAGGGGACTATCGGGGCGGCCCCCTGTGAGAAGCTTCTCGAAGCTCCCCCAGCTCCAAGCCAGCTCCACTTCTGTTTGGGAAATTGAGCCAATCAGCTGCGCCTCTGTGATAACGTATTTCAGAAGGGACGTGGTGATGTGCAGGGGGACTTGTGAGGAGGAGTTGCTGCAGCTGCATGAACACCAAGGTCAGTGGAGGAACGGAGGAAGAAAGGAGGGGGGAGGTGTGCCAGAGCAGAGACCCCCCTGTACCCTGTGGTGAGACGGCAGGGCGGCCCCCCCTGCCACCCATGAAGATCTACGGTGGAGCAGACATTGATTTATGGCCTGTGGCTTCTGCTTGCATTATCAAGGTTCTGTGCCCGAAGAAGGCCGGGGTCTCATGGGAAAAGGTAGCCCCGCTGCTGTAATTCAGTGCTGGGAGGATTGCAGCATGCGGGGGTGTCCCACGCCAGAGCAGCTCGGGAAGGGCTGCAGCCGTGGGAGGGAATCCAGTCGGAGGAAGTTAGTGACCCATGACGGAGCAGTGTGGGGAACGCTGCGGCCCGTGGGAGGAACTCATGTCGGAGAAAGTTTGTGGAGGACTGTCTCCTGTGAGAGGGGGACCATGATGGAGGAGGAGGAACAAGTTCCGGACACTCCCCTCACCAAAGATAAAGGAAGTGGCAGCGCTGACTGCACCCCCCATTCCCTGCCCCTGCGCCACTGGGGGAGGAGGTAGAGATATCGGGAGCAGAACTGAGCCCGGGAAGAAGGGAGGGGTGGGGGGAAGGTGTTCTCAAGATGTGGCAATGCTTCTCACTGTCCTACTCTGTTATGTGTTGTTGTTAGTGTCTGTAATAAATGTATGTTCTTTTTTTTTCTTTCCCTAACGAGTCTGCCTTTTGCTCGTGATCATAAAGGGGAATTTTTCCCCATCCCAGTCCTATCTCGAACCCCAAGCCTGGCTCTCTGTCCCTTCTCATTGCCGGAGGGGAAGGGAGAGAGAGCTGCTGCATTGTGGTTGGCTGCCAACCAGGCCTAAACCATGACACTTTCTAAACTTTAGACACACAAACATGCTATTATCATGCATTCTTTCAAACTGAGGTATAGGGAAATGTATAGTATGAAACAACCTATGGGAGTCATCTATCATTTTAAGGTTCTTCCTTCTCTTCAAGGCAGGTTCAAAGTCCATCACACTATGATGTCTCAGTGTGTATTAACAATCTGTCCCAACATTCATATTTTATTTCCCTAACATTAGTAAGGTTTTAAAGTAGTAAAAGAACTCTATAAAATAAAATAATTCTATCCAATAGTATGGTTTTTTTAGGTTCAGGCACACCACTGGGACTTGTTTAAGAAGCACCATCGTTCCCAGATTCACAAGTAGTACAGGTACTCTGTTGTTCGCCATGGAATTACCACTTGAAATAATTATAGAGCAAATGTTCTTTGAATAGTTAATCAGGTGCTGCCATGCAATAGTAATGCAATAAAGACAGGCTCAGCTCTTGGGTGAAGCAAGTCCCAGTACACTGTTCTAGAGAGGTTTGGAAAACTAGCCTCAGTTTCCTTTGACTTTCCATCAGCCTAACTTGTCACTGATGTCCTATAAATCATTAGATACAGTAAGAGATTGCTGCAATCATTGCTCAAGCAATTCTTTCCCTCTTACCATATAAGACCTTCCACATTATCAGCATTCATAGTTAATAGCTGTGTAAATGCCATTAACAGGTAGCTGATGTTGCATAGCATTGCCAAAAAACAAATGTCAGTTGTCTGGCAAAGTTGTGGAAGAAATGCTTAAGCTATGTGAGGTGACCTGTTGTGTGGGTGAATGGATTAAGTATTTCCAGAAAGTTCACAGGCTCTAGTGGTGTAATAATAGAAGGTGACAGTAGAACAAGTGTACTTAGGGCTCTGAAAATTATTAATTTTTCAGCCCTGCTAATGATATTGTATCAAGATTTTTAACCAGATTTCCCATATCATTTAAATGATAGGGTACAAAAGAGAGAGTCTAGGACAACAGCCAACTGATCTTTGTTAGATGACTGAAAACTGATTAGCGTTTTTGTTTGTTTGTTTGTTTTAAATGTATCAGTCTTTGGGACACATCTGGAGACATTTTCAATGACCTCATTTGTAAGTGGTAAATGCTCTGGTCTTTGACCACGACAAGGTCTAGGTCTTATCTTCATTAGAGTAATCCATAAGGGCATTTAGAAACATTGCACTCATTTTTTACCTGAGAAAACAGAAGCATGGAGGAGTGAGTGGCTCCCCCATGCTTATTCGTCAGGCCACTGCCACACTTGATTTTACTGCAAAATTCCCATCCAATGTGATAATAGTACTCAAAGATTTAAAAGAACGTGTTCAGGTACTAATGAATTGAGATATTAGCCTAAAAATATATTTTTTAATTCCATCATTAAATGATTACTTTTATTTACCTTCTAATATACAAACCTTCAGGGTAAATTCTTGACTCATATTTTCAGTATTTTTCTTGAAACACAAGGGAATTAACCATGAATTAATTTCTTGAACTATGTAATCAATTATTTTTAAGCAGCCTGAGATTGTTATATATTCTGATGATTCAGGGAGAGAGCTTTATGAAGACTCTGAATATCTCATAATTATTTTCCTATAAACCAGGGTATGGCATAGAGGTTCTTGCAGGTGCCTTCCATAGTATGGTAAGTTTCAGCATCTATGTTATCTACATTTGCAGAAGCTTTCTTACCCTCAGCAGAAAGTTTAATCTTGATAAGGCTTCTAGAAACATATCAGCTCCTTTGTTGGAAAACTCGTATCTCCCAGCAATGAAGAAAAATAAGGTCTTCTCAAGACTGAAGTCAAGGTGGCTGAAACCAAGCAAGCAAACAGAGAAGCACAAAGTATTTCTCAAGATATAATCAAACACAAAACAGCTTTCTACTCTGGAGGAATTTGTTATCCCAAGAAAATGATGAAAGTGAGGCTTTTCTGCTGTTCTTTAAATTAAGATGACTATCTATCTGATAAACTACATCTTGGGTAAATAATGAAAAAAATCAAGACCTTTTGGCTGATCCCACAATCTGTTAAGCAGAGTTAGAACTGGTGTCTAAAATTCCTTTAGCTTCTGACTGAGAAATCCCAGACAGATATTTGAATAAGTTGGTAACATTTAATCTCCTCTATAAAGTACTTGTTAATCTTCCTGCTTTGGTTCTTGCTTTAAATAGTGTTGGACAACCATTGCTAATTTTTGAAAAGTAAAAGCATACCCATAGAAATGACCTCGAATGAACTCTTGGATCCTAGCCTTGTACATGGAATGCAAATTCTGAAACTCATGCATTGCTGAAAATTTCTTAATGTTCAAGCCATTTGGGGTGACAACATCTGGAAAAGCAGAGAAAAGGCAGAGGTAGACATTTTCAGAGTCAGGGAAATCTTTAAAGAAAGAACCAGTGTGTCTTTCAGTTGTCAGTATGTGAACAGGTTACATACTCTAATTACTCATGGATAGGGAACAACACTGTCTAACACAATGATCTCCCCCACCAGCTTACTCCACAAAGCTATTGCATGTGGCACTCCACTGTCTATAGCATTGAAGTGTCTTTGTACTACTTTGACCTGTACTCAACATTAGCATAGAGCCTGCTGAACAATGAGGTCTCCCCATGCCCTTTTGTCCTGTCAAGACTTAAGTAACGTCTCCATTTAGTCAAATGTTCTTTGTGCGATATGCCCTTTACCTCTTTATTCTTGATATCACTGTTGCCTGCTTTATCACTATAGATTGAAAACTCTTGAAAGCAGAAACTGTGCTTTCCTATGCACTTGTTTACTGCATGGTACAAAAGAGGTCTGTTCTGTCAAGACTTCTGAGGATTTACCAGAAAATGGAGAATATAAGAAAACTTTTTTAAAAGACCAATTTTCAGTAATCTGCTGGATTTCTCTTAAAATTAGCCACAGAATAGTATGTTTTACACTTTCATGACTGCTCTCCTTGAAGATTCCAAAGCATCTTACAATTAAAATTTGTTCATTTCCAGTATCTTCTAAGATAGAATTTAGGATATACACAGAGTTATAAGGATACACAAGCTTGTTCCAACCAACACTGAAATTCAGTCACTCTTCACCTTTCTGATAGAGCGCAGCAGCTGTTTAAAGGCTTGCCCTAAATCATAAGTAAATGAAAAGAATGCCATTTTCTTTTCTTTGTGTTGGCTTATGAAGGCCACGTATGGAAATGAAAGGGGAGGCCAGTTCCTCAGCAGATGTATTTCATAGTAACACAAATGACTTAAACAGACCTATTCTCATTTATGATACTAGAGATTCTTCAGATACAAAGCATCTTCAAAGAAGCAAAAAAGTGCTAATTATTAGATGACATGCTAGTGCTGATTTCAACCTTGTTCTCCTGGCAAGTGTCATTAGGTGTTTAGTAACCACAACAACTAACAGTAGTAATTTTAAAAGTTCTATGCATCATCCAAAGGACATTCAGTAAGACCTTATTCCCTACCACACATGGTTCATGCAAACAAAACAGTATCTCATTTGATATTGCACATGGGTAACTCCCCGCATACATCAGGGTTACTGATGGGACTACAGTCTCTCGCTTGCCACCAATGCAGGACTTGAACAGTACTTCTATTGTGGTCTTTTGGTCAAGGATGCCTAATGTTCAGGCTTTCCCATCCCTTCCTCCAAAAGCAGAGGTTTTCATGTCTAGTATTAAGTATCTCACCTAATAAAAACCTGTTATTTCTGAAGAGATTTATGGAGACATCTTTAAAACATCTATGGCTCCTTTGGTTGATTACATATCAAGATGATCTTAAGTACAATCAGTTCTCCATATGTTGTCCAGTATACTTGCCTGATGTTTGTCATGCAAATGCCACAGCCATTTTTAATTACTTCCTTGAAAATTAGTCTACTTTAGCAGTATATGTATTTCCCTGCCAGGTAAGTGATCTCTAATTAGTCTTTATCTTGGGATTTTTGTTGTTTAGTAAATTAATGACATTTCTGTTTTAAAACTGTCCCAAGTAGGTCAGAGTGCTTTGACTTCCTTCTGTATTTATAGGAAGTAAATTGACACTGATGTAAGCAATAATAACACAGTATGATATCTTCTGTTGATAAGTCACTAACATTCTGGGTTGACATACTTTTCAGAGATTGCTTCTATGATTTTGATCAAACATATACAGAGATGAAGTCTAGATCTAGATCTTAACCAGCACCCAAGTCTCCTGGAATTCTGATTCAAAATCTTCTCTACTGCTAATGAGAAATGTGTTTCATACCTGAATGAAAATATTAGAAATCCCATAATAACAGTTTTAAAATAATGGGAATATAATTTACGATCACTGACAGAATCTTGCATGATAGGTCAAAGAAAATAGGTTCAACATTAGATACTTAAGCTTTTGACAAATACAGTTTGATAAATTACTGATCAAACAACAACAGCAAGTAAAATCAGTGTAATGCAAGCAGTCATTCTGCCAAGTTGAGACTGGCAAATCAGCCTCTGTCCTAGTGCAAAAGCTCTCTTCGCAGTCTTGCCTGCTGAATTTTAAAGGGGCTTTTCCAAGTGATGATATTTATAATTTAAACCATAATCCAAGTTTAATGTTAATTAGAAGTAGCAGAGACTGCTCTACTTACCACATTTCCTCAGTTCTTTTTACTTAACAACTTTGTTATGAAGTTTGCCTCTCAAGAAATGAAAATGCAAATAAAAGTTAATTTTGCCAATTCTGCCTCCCCCTTTAAAAAGTTTAAAGTGGATCAAGATGTGTACGCATTCTTTCTGTATTCATGTTCCTTTGCAGAATTTAAGCTTAATGATCGATCTGTTGAAGGATTGTTGACCTTTCTGAACAGCCATTTTCTATGTTGATTTCACAACTTCAGAGAGAATAAATAGTATGAGAATAGACTCCTACACAGTTTGTGGTCTAAGATTCAAATAAACTATTAAAGTATTTATTCCCATCAGAACACATTTTCCACTTATAACTGTCTCCTAGGATTTGAGTTACCAATTTTTACTGAATTTCTTCCTAGCTCTGCCAACATGAAGCATGATATGTGTCGATATTTTTTTAACCTAAACATTAAATATATTTACTCAGTTTCTTCAAAGTTGCAAGAATAATCAGGACAATCTCAGGCCTCTGAATCTCTGTGCATGCAAATCTCTTCAGCTTCAACTGACGTTCTATCTGTAAGCAGTTGGCAGATTTTTTCTCCCAAATTAAATGGGATTCAGACTCATTTTAGTCTCCTAAAATTCCCAAATGTAAACTACTGTTTTCAAGAGTAGCTGTTGTGGGGAGAAGCTTCATGCCAATATAAAACAGCTTCAAAAGTCTAATTTTTGAAGGTCAAGTGTTCTGCACTTAGTGAAAAACAAGACCTTTCAGAGATATCCCAAATTAGAATACTGAACACTTAAATTACTTTTAAGACATGGCTGTCATGTTTAAAATAAAAAGGAAAAATCTTCTAAGTTCATCATCCTATTGATAGTTAGTCAGGAATGAGGCAAAGGATCCAACAGACAGCTCTTCTATCCTGATACATGAACCACGATGTGGCTTGAAGCACTGACGTTAACAGGAATAGCAGTCCCAAACTATAATTAGCACTACAATGCACCTAAAAAAATATCTCCAAAATGCAAACCAAAAAAACCCAAAGTCCTCTGAGCATTGTTATACTTAAAATAACCAACTGAGATGTGAACACACCTGCTAAAGTCTCAAAATTGTTGTGCAGATTTTCTCCCATGATGCTTACCTGCAGATAGAGTATTGTGGCTTGTCCTTATAAAGCACCATGCTGATTTAAAGAGAACTTTAATGACACATCAAACTGGGACCATGACCTTATTCAAACTCCATGCATGGAACATGTCAAGGTTTGTTTGCAAGTTCCATATTTTATGAGACTAATACAAAGGGGAAAAATCAGACAAACTGTTGGGCACGTATCTCAACTATTTTTTCAAACTATACCAGTTGGTCTAATAGAAAATATTATATCTGTCTGTGAAACTTGTCGTGGTTAGGCCCTCAGATCATGATGACCACAACCAAACTGCTACTCCTAACTGTGAGAGATACGGATAAATGAACTGTACTGATTTACGGTTCCGTTTTTGCCTTCTCATCTCTTTCAATATTAAGTAAAGAAAAAACAGTAATAGCACTGGAAAGCAAAGCTCATCTAACATTCTGTTTTGAATATGAAATTTTTAGTTACATTTCTAAAAGAATAGATCACTCTATCTAGCAAAGCAACAAATCTCATACTGCAAAATCTGGCAAAATGTATTATAAAGGTTCCAACTTCTGCTTTTGTCAGTTGCCCTGAATACCTTACCATCACCAGAAACCCTGCTGTAGACAAAACTCCTGAAGCTGAGATGTCCTTGCAAAGGAAAGCCTAACATTAAACTAATGCTCTCTTGAAATGGTACTGAGAGCAGTTATTAAATGGTGCTATACTTGATTTCTTCTGGAATACATATGCTACTAGAATGTGTTTCAAGTGATATTATCTGCACTTTTCTTTTGAAAATTGGTTATCCTCTGTAGTGTAGCTGGACATACCTATGCATATGTCCTTGCTCTTCATGTTTGTATACTTGTCTCTATTCTTTTCATTCAGTCTGAGGAAATGTAGGTACTCAGAGGAAATAAAATAAGAAAACAATTCAGGTCTTACCAGGTTTTCTTTTAAGCATGTGTTCTGCTTCCACAGCTGTTATCTGTGAGACTGTGGTGAACACATGGGCACAATGTACAGACGCCCGTTCCATACAGTACCGATGGTAAATCTGTCTCTCTCCTGCTTCCTTGTCAATGTCAAACTGTTAAATAGTAAAACAAACACAAAAGACACCTGTGTGATACACTCATCAGACTTATGACCACAAAGGTTTCCTGTGTTAAGCTTAATTTCCCCAGGGAATAAGAATCATGTGATTATGCTGTTGGTTTGTCTTTCTGTTTTTTGAACCGCTTTATCAATTTAAAAGAGTTTGAAGGAGCAAGAGAGATCTCAGTTCCTGCATGTTCATGAAAAAACTTCAGCTTGGCAATGGAATGAGACCTAGATTAATGATCCCATGAAAGGTAAGGATCTGTGCTATTTGGCCTGCTGGCTGTCATATGTCATGCTGCATCTTGCCTGGGCTTGCTGGAAAACTTGGGAGAGCAGGGAAGTTGCTTGTAACTGAAGGTATAGGGGAGAGAAGAGAAAAGGAATGGGGATAAGGAGAGAACCCAGGGACTTGGTAGAATGGTGGGAATCATGGGTAGGTAAAAGAGAAACGGAGTTGTGGTGGAGAGGTAGGATGTAAAGACTCAGTCACAATTCCTAAGGGAACAAAGAAAATTGAAAATGAGCTATTTTCTGATACTCAGAGATGTTATTCCTCCAATTCCACTACTGTTATATGCTGCTCCTTTTACTTCAATTTGAACTCCATTAATTTCTAGAGGCAGATATAAATTAAACTGCTAGATAAGACCATCCCAAATAGTAAAGTATTTCTAAAACAACTTTAAACCTTGCAGTTACCCCTTTTTTTACTGAGCTTAGATTATCCTGATGGAAAGAAAATGCACAATACCTATTGAGCCCATGCTTAAAGGTTCAAACATTCGCTAACGATGTCTACTGCAAAATCACCACAATGCAGTCTAAAAAAGAATAATGTTAATGAGGAGTGAATGATAACAATTAAATTACAATCCTCTTAGTTCTACATGATGTTTCACTTCCAGGAACAGAAGCACTGAGCTCATAAGGTCAACAGCACAGGCACCAAATAGACTGTGTGAGTTCCATGGAGAGTGACAATGACTCTCAATGAGCTTTGACATTATCACTGCCTAATACTAGGTGCACAGTTTGATTTTGATTGCATTTGACTCTAACTTGATTGACCAGAATAGATTTAACCATTATTATAGGCTGGGCAGACAGCACTTTCTATGGTTAGGACTATCTGACCTTTGCCACAGCTAGTTGCTTTTAAGACTTTAGAACTTAGCCAGAAGTAAAGCTATTTAGACTGCAACTTTTCATGCTGAGTACATGCTCAAGATTGATATAGAACATATTTTAAGAAACTTTAGCAAGTGTGAAACATTTCAGGGAAGAAGATTTAATCAAATAATTTCTTATTTCTACTCAGATAGGTGTAAATATATAGATGTAGATATAGATTCCTTACAACTGTTTTGCTAAGAAACTTAATGCTTTTATCCACTGAGCACTCTAATTATGCACTGGTGCTACTCTGCTGGTGCAAAAGTGGCTTCCACTGTATTACCTGAAAATGCCACCCTAATGTGACCAAAAAAGGAGTCTTGAAAAATCTCAGCTGAAAAGTTTTAGAGAAACTAGATACTTTCTCTTTACATTGATGATCCTGTATGTCAAAAGTTCTAAACCTGCCAAAGAGAGTTTTAGAAAAGCTAGGAAATATGCGTTACCACACAATATGATATACATTATGATATCATTTTTCAGTTGTTTCATCACATATCATATTTTCCTTATTCCCCATGAGAATTTTGGTGCATGAAATACAACCATGCCACAAAAGAAGACCTTTTCTCTAGAACATACACCTCATTTGTCACAGAAGTTGAATGGTAGAAAAAGCAAAGGGCAGAAGGGTAGAGGAAGAGAAAACTAAAGGTGAATTAATTAGACTCCTTGGAGTGCCACAGATCTCTATCATGATGCTTTGTTTACCTAAGCCAATTCACACGCAGTTCTTAACTGTGTATTCCTCCTTTTCTGGGATGCTACCTTGGTATCTTTGCATCTGACCTGTTGAAGTGTTGAGCATTCACATCTACATCTGAAATCCACTGGACCTATGCTGAGGTTATAAAGGACTTGGTACTGCTAACTCCAGTAAAAGCCTCCCTAAAAATATGTTCATGATGTAGCTACCTTCCCTCATATGAGTGTGGTAAACTAATTAATGTTTCTGGAGCATACAGATACTACTGATGAATGTTATAAAGCAGCTCTTAAGAAAATCACAGGTATATTCTTCAGAGCACAAATATTGATTGCACGTTCTAAACAAGGTAGGAAGCTTCATATTGAACAATAAATACACAAAAAATCATTACAATTATTCAACCATTTCGTGTACCAAAGATACAAAACAGGACAGTTCTTTAACATGCTGTGCAAAAATGCAAACAGGGTGGGCTACCTCTGCACAGTCAAAGCTAGGCAAATTTTTTCAAATACATTTGTATTTAAAATAATTTTCAGATTGCTAAGAAACAAATAGCTGGCCAAACTTTGAAAGATTTTTGTTCTCTTTTCCCTTTCTCACCAAGAATGGATTTAATTACAAAACATAATTAAAAACTAAATTTGGGACATGTTCACTGTAAATAAACACTCCCTCCAACACTACTGGGAGAAAGGTTCATAAAAGGATTGTTCAAAGCACTATGGCTTATTTCTTGCTAGCTTTTATTTCTTTGATTGTATGAAAGCATTTTACACATTTACTATATACACGTATTGATGTTAATTTCTTCATTGCTATTAATTTTTTCATCTTCTAGAATTGGGAAAGATTTTACTTTGCACGTGCTTGCATGACTTTTGGCATGCTTTTTCAAAGGTACACAATTCCATGTCTATTAGCAACTATAAACTGAGGTCACAATTCCACATTTCATTTGCTTGCCCTTTCCAGCAGTTTTCTCCACCAATCAGTAAAGCAAGATCTTGACCCTTGACCTCACTTATAGTGTAGAGTGAGAATCCTTATTGTGCACTTCTAAGCAGGTCAGATGAGTGACTTCGGAAAATAAGCGTTAGACAAGTTGAAGGGCAGGTTAAATGGAACTTAATTGATGAGACAGTGCAGGAGACAAATTTAGTCCACACAGTACTGTGCAAAGACAGCTGAGCTTGCTGTGACACTGTCAGCTCCAGAATTAGAGGCCACATGGGGCACGGCACTGCATTGAGCCAATATGCTGAAATGAAGCAGAACACCACTGTGGCAAGTTCACTCTTCACCCCTCAACCAATGTTTCTGCTCAGCATTTTGCTCTGCTGTCTGAATGCTTGTCCACCCCAGCTCAGGCACCTGTGAACTATGTTCCATAGTGTTCATGTTTGGTGAGAGCAAAGCAAAATATCTGTAAAGTGCGTTATGCTTACTTTTGTTTGTTTGCTGTTATCAGCAGATGGGAACACTAGCAAAGCCACAAAAGAAGGCTGCATCAAGAGAAAAAGAGTTCTAAGTCAGATTAACTCCTTATAGAATCATTTAGGTTGGAAAAGACCATTAAGATCATTGAATCCAACCGTTTCTTCCCTCGGTGACTTTTAAAGACTAATGACTTCAGTATCTACTTCCCTGTAAATATTCCACTGCTGCTCCCAGTGAGGATCCCCCTCCTACTCTGACTGTTAGAAACCAAACAGATTACTTGAATTTATATGATAGCAAGGATTAGAGGGGAAAATGCCTCCCTTTTACGGCCAATCTAATTTCAAAGCAAAACAGTAAGATGTTCCACTGGCATAATGCTTTGGAGTACAACCTGTATTTGCTGTAATACAATTATCAGGAAAAATTTCAGCTCATTTCTGTCCTTTCTATGGATTCACATGATGAGCATAACATTTCATTCATGTCTTAAAATTCAGTGTGTTAGGGGGCACAGTAAATGATCAGTCAACCTCCCAGCATGACATTCTACTTAAGACAGCTAAGATGATCTTTGCAAAAAGAAGAGAATATCAAGCAGTTGTGGGATACTGGTGTTGTGTTTCTCTTGGAAACAGTGAACAGTCACTGAAGTAATAAATCCAAATTAGACGTTCCTACTTCAAAATGGTAAAGGCAAACTGCAAAGGATTTACAAAAGCACAAGAAGAATGATTTGAGAGTGGAAAAGGAGGAAAGACTATATGAGCCAAGTAAATACTTTTCTGAAAGACAGATAAATTATTTGTCACAGACTGTATATAATCTCTAGATACTGATCCTAGACAAGGAAAAAAAAAAAAGTATGATGAAAGCCAACAGAAGTTAAACCAAGACAAATTCAAACTGGAATTAAAATACGTAGTTTTGATAACGAATAACTTAGTGACACCTTTGCATAAGTAATATAGATTTCCCTTACCATTCTAACCCCCACCTCAAGAGTAGAGAATGTTTTTATAAGTAGTTTGTATCTCAAGTAAAAGTTATGGATTTGATGCATGAACTTTTAGCCAAGGATTTTAGGCAGAGAATGAAATGATCTCTTCTGGTCTTTAAAATCAGCGGCACACTCAAGTTCACAGGTGATTCTGCAGTGGGACCAGGAACAGTCAGAGATAAGCTTGAAGTTCAAATTCCTTATCTACTGAAAGGTAGAACGGAAAGTTCTTCACTTCTAACATAATCTCATTGGCTGCCGTTGTCTGAATTATGTAAGAATTACTCTTTTTAAAATCCAGTTTACGTCAAATTTAACTCCCATTGATGGTTATCTTGTGCAAATAGAACTTCCATTATAGTATAGCTCTGCCATGCCAAAAAAGAAGGAAATTACACTTCCTGGCTTAAGTCAGATTTCCATTAGCTGCTCTACTAACAAAGCAGATCAGCTTTGCATAACAGTGAGCTCAGTGACAGCTGTGACAGTACTGTACTAAGTGAAATGAGAGCTTGTGCTCATGGGACACATAGTGTCAGTGTGAAAGCTCTTGACTTTTCATTTTCATTGGGATTTTAGTACTTTTCCTTTTAGACTTCTTGGGATAGAATTCTCCACCATTTTGTAAACTAGATTCAGCTGCACTTGTATGAGCTGAATGTAAAATGTTGCTTGGTCTAAATAAGAGTGTTACACATTGGCAGGATAACTTTATATAAGGAAAAAGGCAATGAAGAATGAGACTGATTTTTTTTTCTTCTCATTTTCCCATTATAACTCAAGGTGATTTTTTTAGTAAGAAACATCAGGAGCTGAAGCCTATGAACTTCTCCATTTTGCCACACCAGTGGTCCACAAAACCATTTCAGATGGTTACCTCTCAGATGAAATTCCAGATTAGATCATTTGCCAAAAATCCCATTCACCTA